AGACACAACTAAAGTCTATATATTACATATCATGTATTATCATTAAAATTTTTATTTTATTTTCTACAATTTTGCCAGAACAAGAAATTGACTTTTAGTATCATAATTTACTGATTTTAGTCACTTTTCATGTAATACATTTTTTGCTTCTGCACGTTCCTCTTCTAATTCACTGGATGTAATATTTAACTTTGATCTAGCAAAGTCATTGATTGAAAGTCCCTAAGAAGTCAATGTAAATTATTTTTTTGTTTCAAAAATATATCTAAATATAAAAATATAACAAATAATATATAAAAAAATGTTTACTTGAACAATTTTGTATTGTCCATTTTCTATAGTAACTGGGAAAGAAAACACAATATCCTTTGGAATTCCATAACTGCCATCAGATAATACACCCATGCTAACCCATTCACCTGGTTTGGTACCAATCCACCAATCTCTCATGTGATCTCCAGCTGCTTTAGCAGCTGACATTGCAGATGACATCTTTCTGGCAGCTATTACAGCTGCACCACGTTTCTGAATTGTTTCCACAAAAGTAGTATTTAACCAATTTTCATCATTTATAGCTAAAGATATTGGCTTGGTGGAATCTTGAAGAGTTACAGTAGCATGAGAAGCATCAGGATATTGAGTTGAACTGTGATTGCCCCAAATAATAACATTTTTTATTTTATCAACCTGTTTGCATATATTATATTTATTAAATTTTGTCAAAATTTTATAAATCTATTTTTTTTTTAATATAATAATAAAATATTAATCACCTGAACATTCAATTTTGCTGATAATGCTGCTTGAGCACGATTTTGATCCAATCTTGTCATAGCAGTAAAATTTTGTTTTGGAATAGATGGTGCATAATGAGAACAAATTAAAGCATTTGTGTTAGCAGGATTACCAACAATTAAAACTTTAACATCTTTTTGAGCATATTTGTCCAGAGCTTCTCCTTGAACTTTAAAAATTTCTACATTAGCTGCTAAAAGATCTTTTCTTTCCATTCCTTCTTTTCGAGGCATTGCTCCAACCAGAAAAGCTGCAGCTACATCTTTGAAAGCTACACTTGGATCAGCTGTAGGAACAACTTCTACAAACAAAAAATTTATATAATAATGAAACTATTAAAATCAAAATATATACACATATGTATTTTTTATTAAAATGAAGAAATAAATAAAACAAACATACATAACAATATATCATAGATACATAATATTAGTTAAGTGCATTATATAACATATATATATATATATATATATATATATATATAATGTTACA